GAGAGAGAGAGAGAGAGAGAGAGAGAGAGGATCGCGTGGGAAGACGATCGGAATCGCGGTGGATCCTTATAGGTCGGGGAAACGAGGACGTGGTGCTTGCTTCGTGCGGCTGGCTTTGCCAGTGTGAGGTTCTGTGAAAGGGTGAGCGCTAATTGCGAAAAACCAAGTAGTCCGGCCGACGCTCGCCGGTGGGTATTCGTCGTATTCGTTAACGCGAGGTCTTAGAGGCTGCCTTAATTGTTCGCTCGGTTGGATGCTCAAATCAACCCACGTCTCTGCTCTAGAGAGACGGTAGAAAATCTCATTGACGCTCAAATGGAAAACCTAATCAAGATAGCGAATAAATCTCTGCTGCATAGACTCAACGGTAATCAAGGAGTCGGCGTGGTGGCGTGACGTTTGTGCATTCCTTCGAAGACACGCGTGGAAAATTGAATTCTTACGCGTCCGTGCGGAAAGTTAATCGAGATGACGAATGAAATCGTAGGAGCTGCGAATTCGGTATGAATCCGTGGGAATTAGGAAGTGTAGATATGCCGGTGACCCCGTTGAATTCTTTTCGAGATGAAAAGCGTGGAAAGTCTTACAGATGCTTGAATGTGAAATTAATCGAACTAGGCGCGAGATGGTCGCACAGGACCATTCTATTGAACGAAATCTTAATTGAAAAACGTGAACTCGTATAAATTTAAAATGCATCTAGGTACTTCTATGATAATTAAAAAATGCGATTCATCTTTGACATATATATGTAGGGAATTTAATCATCATGCGATTGAACAATTAATTGAGACAAATTATAAATTATAATGAAATTGCAGATTTGATATATAAATTGACAATAATGAAAATACAATAATCAACAATGATGTTAAACAATTTAACTAAAAAAATGTGTTAAATTTGAATGACATTTAGTTTATTATTTATTAAGTAGATACATTAATACAAACGTTGTTTACTTTGAAACTAACCAATTTAATCACAGAAATGGATTGATTTACACATTATGATTGATTTCGACACATGTGAAAGTTAAAAATAACAAAATGTTATTTGATTCAAAGGATTGGGTTACCATTGCTCCTTTAATATTTAACAGTGTAGGGACAATTATATTTACGTGGGCAGTTTGATAAGTCAATGACTTTTTAAAAAGAGAGTATATTGAAAAATAAAACGAATTTTCAAAAAAAAAGTTAAAAAATTACTGACTTATTAAACAGAGGAATACTTTACTCTTAAATAGAACAATGTTTAATCTAGAATGATCTTGGACATCGGTTTCATGCCAAATACTATTTATTTTAAATGTAAGAATACATAAACTTATTTTTTATTAAAATAAAAAATATAAACTTAAATTTATATATTACTTTCATCTCAAGACATATTAAGTCAATCTTATTTAATTCGAGGAAGGAGAATCGGAATTGTTGATCTGATCTCAATATTGGTTTTACTTTTGTACTGTATAAAATTTTATACTGTTGATAAAATTAAGTACACCAAAAATATTTTTTATCATATTATCATAAATTCTTTCCGAGAAAGTAGCTGAATCAATCGCGATTCATTCCCATGGAGAATTTTAATATCCTTCGATCGAAAAATTAATCGTTATGAATTGAAAAGTGAGAAGTACGAGCTCGACGTAAATTCAGACAATTGGAAAATCGCCCGCGCTGTGACGACACGAGGAAATTTTTTTATTAATATTGAAGTGTGGCCAACATAGATTTACGGCGATTAGAAAACCATCATGACGTTCTTTCATTTTAACGAAAACACGCGTGCTTTCGTAGCCGGAAGTTACGTATGAATCGCAGGACGGATCTAAGACCAGGTGTGACTACGTGAAGAGGACCACCGCGATTCAATTACGCGCTTTGCTACCGCCGTCATCATGGTGGTGTCACATCACGAGTCCAGCATCTCGTCGAACATACGGGCGATAATCGAACAGCTGAACCTAAACCCGGTGGAGAGGCGACGACTGATCGACAAGACTAGGCAGGGCAGCAACGCGCGATGCAAGAGCTTTCCGGATGGGATAGTGGTGGAGTCTCAAGCACCGAAGATCAGCATCGGCGTCTACGGATGCAAGGATCGGAACACTGAATACGAAATACCTACTCCGATCAGCAAGACCGCGATTGCGGTGCGTAAGATCGAGATCGAGCGGTCGAGGTCGAAGGCGGAGACACGGCAGAGACTTCCTCCTCAGAAGAAGGAAGCGCACATCGTGTGTCAGGTGAAGAAAGAAGCGCCCGCCGTGCCGGTGAAGAAAGAAGCACCTGCTAAGGTAAAGAGAGAATCGCGGATGGAACACGCAAACGAGGTAAAACAGATATCGATCGCGATCGTGCGATAGGATTTGCTTACTGGACACTCGTTGCCTCGGTCGAGAAGGTAATTGCCATTTATTGCCAATTGTAATTTATTCTAAATTTAATATGCCCAGCGAAGAGAGAAGCAGTAATTTATGCGCTTATTTATCTGCAATAGGCTTGCTATCGATACTTAAATGGATTGATAAATGTGATACATATCTTACATATCGATATTTATATCTCTATATCTGTAATATCTATTTATATATCCATTCTGGAACAAATTGATCAGAAGCACTTTGTACTTAAAGTGTCACGTTTAGTCATCTTAAAAACACATTTTTATTAATATTATATCGCACACAATCTTAATCGAAATTTTAATTAAGCAAGTCGATGTTATAATGTAGAACAGACACGTTCTGGATTTTGATGGCAAAATGCTTCGGTACTTTATTAAACGCAACGAAATCCCATTAATCGAATCCTCGCATGAACGAAACGAGAACAAATTAATCGATCGCATGAAAACGCGGTAATGTAGCATTTAATTTGAGTTTTGTGAAAACTCAAGGGGCTCAAGAACAAGTTCGAGTGCCAGCCGATAGTGTCGATCAGATGCTTCACCAAGGATACGACCTTTAACAAGGATACATCCCTTAATAAGAATACATCCCTTAATAAAGATACGTTTCTAAACAAGGATGCATCTCTTAATAAGGATACATTCTTTAACAAGGATATATTCCTTAACAAGGATGCATCTCTTAACATGGATGCATCTCTTAACAAGGATGCATCTCTAAACAAGGATACATCTCTTAACAAGGAAATCTCCTTCAAGAAGGATATGTTCCTTAACAAGGATGAGTCCTTTAATGAGGAAGCGTCTCTTAATAAGGATACATCCCTTAACAAGGATGAAAATCGAGTGACGACGACGCCAGTACCAACGAAAATCCAACCAAAAACTCAACGGGCGATCAAGGGAGAGCATGTAGCTCGAATCGACGTCGGCACGATCGAGGTAATTGATCGTATGATAAATAGGCGGGATCTCTCCCGCGATAAACGCGATTGTGTTTTAACGACGTAACTATTAAACGCGAATTAATAAATGAATAATCATGTAATCAGTCTGTGTACACGACTCTGTAAGGACAAGGTCGCGGACGCGTCAACGATGTCAATCAGACCATTGTACAAGATCGAGGATCGCCTCAGATTGAGACAACTAAATACGACGGTGACTGTCAGAATCCACCAAACTACGAGGGAACCGACGAAGGAACAGTCTCGCGTCGAAGACGCGATCGAGGTAATCGATCGATCGATAGTGACTAAAAGTTACTCCAAATGTTAGATCCGTGAGGAAAATCTAATTGAACGTCTTATACGTGTATTTGATTACGACATCGATTTATATCTTTTAAGGAAACATTCGTAGTCTAAGGTTCTTTGAATTGTTGCCAAGATTTTTATTAATTTAATAATTAATACTAAGAGCAACTATGACAGGAGAGATATATATATTTTTTATATACATATAACATTTCGAAGAACCTTAGATCACGAATGTTTCCTTAAAAATTGTAACGCTTAGGTAAGCCATGTTGTATTAGGTTACCTTGTAAGGTTAGGGGACTGGTCTGAAGTGCCGAAAGGTGATCCCGGGCCAGCCCCCGTAAACCTGTGGCTTTCGAGAAAAGGGGGAGGTTTTTAGTTGGTAGGCACCTGACTGGTAGATGTTGGGAAAGGCTGAAGCGGGCCGGGGATTTAAATCCCGTTGGGTCCGTGGAGGCCGGAACTACATCCCTAGAACAGGTGAATCCAATACATCCAGGACAACTCGGGCCCTGGGCTTTCCAGACTGTGACAGTGGAACCGAGGACCAATCGAAATCCAATTTCCCCTAACCCGGGCGGAAATCGGAGCATTGGATCAGTCTGGACGCAGCGAAGATTTTCCCCTCCTACGAGAAACAAAAAAAAAAGGTTACCTTATAAGATAACTTAACATAACATGGCTTACGTAAGCATTACAATTTTTGTTCAGTCATGCTATGTAAATTTAAAATAGAAAACTTTTTTAACATTAATTTAAAATATGAGACGTTTTCAACATTTATATGCGTGCAGTGAAGATTTAACTACCCATGTAATTACCTACAAACAGCAAAAAGGTCATATTGGGTATTAGGCTATATTGAGGGCATCTATCTTATATTATTAACCTTTATAGTACACATAATCATGTCCTGCACATTTCTTTTCTTTGAAATACTAGAAGCACCAAGTAATTAGTTATAACATTTATATATAATTTTTTTTAATACATCATCTTACAAATACTTTCTAAAGATGTTAAAGTATATATGTAAGAATCATTTAATAACTTTTATATACTTTTAACAATTATGAAAAATTAACTCGGGACTCAAATGTAATAAAGCGTTGTGAAAATCGTTGTGTGTATTATGGATTAATATAATATATGTCTATTTTAAATAATATTTTAACTATATAAATTAGTTAATATACTAATTTGTATTAAAATTATTTAAAATATTAGAGCTGATTCAAGTGTTCTTTGATAAAGGATTGTGCCGCAAACACTCTGAAATATTTACACATCGAACTTCGTGTTTGGCGTACAAATGACTTTAACGTACGGATTGAAGATTGACCACGTTCGTTCGCTGCTCATTCGTGCCTTTATTATCGTCTCTCATGCCTACACTCACGTGACGATTCAAAGATCGCGTGAACCGCGCAATCGTCGGAGCAATTACACATCGGTTAAAGAGACGAACGATCCAAGCTCATCCTTTCTCCTCTCTCTCTCTCTCTCTCTCTCTCTCTCTCTCTCTCTCTCTCTCTCTCTCTCTCTCTCCTTCGGAAAATGACTTTAGTACCGAAAGCAGGCGGCGACGCACCTGTGACCGGTTTCCGAAGTCGATCGCGGTTAAGTGGCCGCGCCGCACACTCGACGACTCGGCTCGCACGGTGGTCAATACCGTTAGAAACTGACCAGGCGACATGCTCGCTTTGCCTGGTTCGCCTGTCGAGAATTATCGGCGCCGTTACCGGCGCCGAGAATCACGTTATGTCGCACGGGATCTCTTTTCACATTCATGCAAATTAATTAGCAAATCGAAAACAATCGGGCTCGTATTTGAGACTTTTAAGCTCACAATCATAGATCTATTTTTATGAAAAGGGGCCAGGTGACATTTTTGGCACACGCGCTTCTTCGAATGCTTCTTGTATAATTTTATTGATAACGAACAAAGAAATATTCGTTATAATTTGTTAAATGTGTTTGTTTAGAGCGGAGACTCCAGAAATATTTATTATTGATTTGAATTAATTGATATCAGCTTAGACCATTAATACCAAATTTAAAAGAGATTACTGATATAAATTAATACAGAATTTACTTAAAAAAGAGATTAAAGTATGTGTCTTTCGACGTTCTTGACAAAAATATATCTGTAAGAATAGACTTGCATAAATAGATCTGTAAGATTTCTTTTAATTAATATCATTTGTAATGCTATCAACTTCTTAAATTAATTTCGACGGTCGATAAGGAAATACTCGTCGCAATTAGTAACACGTATTTTCTTGGAGATTCTAGAAATACTGTTTACTATTTTATTTATTTTATTAATTAATACTATTATTTTAAAGATAAATTAAGCAGGGATAGCAATTTATAAAAATTTCAACTTTTTACGAACTTTATTTTTTTCTTGTCCTTTTCTTACGCGAAATCAAAACAAGAAGTCGCGAAATGAGATATTCGTTGGCAGTGCATTATATAAGTTTAATCTGATTAACTAAATAATGAAAGAAATCTTTGTTTATTTTTTTAATATAGATTACGAGATCGACGAAAGATACGGTTGATCGGATTGTTCCGGTAGCTAAAGAAGATTTACGTAAGTCTCATAGAATATTACTCACAGTTTTATTGCTTCGCAACACGCTAAATTGTTCAAATAATTACGATTTACACTATCTAGTTAGAATCCAAGCTTGTACATGAAAATGTAAGGAAACGTTAGATTAAAAAGACATAGAAAAATATGAGAGAAAGTTAACTAAAAAGTATTTCACACCAATGATGCCATTGAACTCAAATTTGTAACCAGTTATTTTAAACAATACAAAATGATTTTTAATAATTTATTCTTTATTAAATATGCTTTATTTTGCACGTCTTAAAAATATGTTTGAAATCAACAATTATTATCACATTAACAATGTAGATTACATCTACATATTATATTTTATAAATTCTACAATATATTTATGTTAAATTGCCATACAATTTGCGTGATAATAATTTTAATAAATGTAATTTTTCTCACTTATAACAGCGCAACTAGAAAGCGCGAGCTTGAGCCACACTGCAGCACATCACCGGATCTCTGTGCGTCCGAAGAACCGGCGCCCACCACGTCGCACGATGCCGATGACATCGCCCAACAGTGCCGCACCCAGTTCGCCATCGATACCACCGACCATCGCTGAAGACACCTTGGACAGTTTGGAGCAACAAAAGCAACAGCAGCAATTACTCCAATCGACTAGCAATGCGCCGTCACCGACGGAACCACCTAGGGCTATTGGCGTGACTAGGAAGTCGTCGAGCCGGCTGTCCCGCAATTCCGATATCTTCGAAGAATTGGAATCAAAGTTGCCGCGAAAACCAAGCGCAACATCATTATCGCCAGATAGTCTGGACGCTACAACAGCGTCGCGAAGCAGTACCGAGATAAACAGCACTGTTACCGAGGAACAACAGGCAGAAGTCAGATGGATACCGGTCGTCAGGAGGCCATCCAATCGGATATCCAAGGGCTCCGACGTGTTTGAGGAACTGGAAGCGAAACTACCGCGTAGAAGATCTTCGTCAAATCGATTGTCCAAGTCGCCCGACAGTCTGGATTCATCTCCCGGCTGTTGGTTCTCCAAATCCACCGAAGACGGCTTCGACAAACTGATGGAATATGAACAGACCGCAAAACCGGTGGCTTCCGTAAGAAGACAACTGCTGAATCCAATCTCGAAATCCACTGATCGCGTTTCTAAATCATCAGACAGTTTAGAAGCGATCGAACCGCTGACCAGCGATGATTCGATGGAGCGACGACGAAGTAGTTTCGACTTCCGAGCGCGTAGAAGTTCGAAGGCGATGTCTAAGTCGTCGGAGAGCTTTGACCTGCTTGAACAGAGCGACTGCGCCGGTGAGGAAATCGGCCAAGAACTGCAGAAGAGAAGCAGCGTGTCCGATATCAATTTATCGCGCGGAAGAAGATTGTCGAAGAGCATATCCAAATCGTCCGAGAACTTTGAGAGAATCGATATGAATGACATGAAGGACGACGTCGAGGCAGAATTGATATTGGATGATGACGCGCCAAAGATGGGCGGTAGACGATCAAGCAAGAGAATGTCCTCGGAGAGTTCGGATAATTTGGACGTAGAGGATAGGCTAGAAAACAGGAGGGTCAGAAGAACGCCTAAAAGAATACCGAGCACCAGCATAGTGGATATGGTAGTTTCTGGAGATGACCACGAGGGAGAGAAGCGACCGACTCCTACCAGAAAACCATCGAGACTCCAGAAATCCTCTGAAAGCTCAGAATTGGGTAGCACGGATACTCTGGATTCGGAGAGGAGGAACAAATCATCGGAGAGCACCGAGACGTTGGATAGTCTGGAGAAAGACTTGGAACAGGATAGGAAAGAAGAGGAGATTACAGATAGCGTGATAGATAGGCGTGAAAAAAATGTAAGATTTTATGAAAGACAGGAAAATGATATACATTAACCCTCAATTACAACTATAAAAACTACATCCAAGTTCTAAAGCATCCTGTTTGAAGTACAAACTTCAAGTAAAATCTTCCGTTTTACGATGATTGATAGAAGATTTATAGTCTTTTTACCTACAATTTAGAATCTCATAGTGCTAATGGTAAAGACACGTACAATCATTTAAAAATTTTCGCTTCGTTCAAATGACTCGTTACAGTAGTCGAGGGTTAAGAAAGCATTTTTCTAGTTTTTCTTTTTATCTGAGAAGAAATTACGGCAATTAAATAAATAAATTTTCGTAGTATATTAACTTATTTTTTTATCAGGCTTCAAGATAATAACAAAATTTATAATAAATGTTAAATTATATATAAGTTAAACAGCTTTTCTAACCGTATTCTCCAAATATTTTGTTAATTCTTTTCTCGATAATATAGAAAGATTAATTTTTAATAATTTTTCAGGATTCGTGGTCTAGCAGAAACGTACCAGCAACCGATTCCGATCAAATGTCGATGGGAGACGATACCGAAGACTCCAAATCGCTCATTTCTGCCGACAATAAATACTACTGGCGTCAATCTTCTGAGCCAGTGTCTAAGGAGAACTTAGGTATCCAACAATTGTTGGCCATCACAATAATGACCAGAGTGACGGACAACGGAAATAATCAACGAGGCTCTATCATTTATCCGAAGAAGAAGCAAATGAGCACATCGCAGCCGTCGTCGCCGGTGGCCAAGCAGGAAGAGACGAAGATGCTTTTCGACAATCTGCTAGTGAGCAATAAGAACGATGAGGACCTGCAAAATATGCTTAATGGAAACATATCGGAGGTGTCCACCGACACCAAGAGCTTCAAGGAGAAGCTGATCATGTTCGAGAAACTCGGAAAATGAACGCGATAGAACGATATGAAACCATTGTTTCAAGATTCTTTTTCCGATTAGCGGATCGCTTTGTTATAGCGACCGATGCTTAATGCAGGAAGAGAAAACACGGGAAATGCGAGAAAAGATAAATGATCTCGTTTAGCGCTTGATAAATACGCATGTTGTTTGTAGACTAGTATTCTCCCTATTGGAGCTATTTGGATTATGGAGTAAAAAAACGAAGGAAATCAAGAATTAAATTTGCAAATAATTATTTTTCATAGACAATTTTTTTTATCGTCCACAGAACTGTGGATACGAAATAAAAAAAATCAACGAGTAATCATATATATGTACACGAGTAAAAGTATTAAATTGCGACATATTCTTTTAAATATACATATATATAATATATATATATATATATATATATCTCTAGAGAAAGTAAAAATTTTTGAAGTACCAAAATGAATAGTTTGGTATTTATTTCTAAATAATTTGTTCGTATATTTGTACATTAATTAATCAAAATGTAATCACGACAGCACGGTCTAATTTTGAAAATCGAAAAAACTTTTAGTTCACGTTGATAATTGGCTGTGCTTCGTCATTGATGCATTTATTAGGGAAATCAGTCCCACCTGCAACATCTTCCAATTCTCACGTTCATGGGTTTTTTTTATATGACTGAAAACTCCAACATTTGAGATTATATCATCATGGAAACGCATTCGCGAATGTGTACATTCTCATAGGGAGCTTTATTTCACTCGCAGATAGTTGTACAGTAGTTGTAGCAAAGATGTGATCCTTTCGGCGTGATGCATTTATAAATACCGTATATTATCCCGTATCGTGTAAATACGAAAGGAATAGCAAAGTTATGCGTTATCACTTTGATTTTGAAGAAAAAAAATATATAAATATATGTTTGGCACACATTATAGTATTAACATTGATAAATGTAGAAGAGACGCGAAATGTAAGCTGTACGACGGTCTAAGAAATGTTACGTGTGCAATTGTATATTTTTGACGCTCTCGAAAAATCTGTTTATTCTATACAAGAAACGTATTAATGTCCCACACGAATTGTCCACAGACTGCCTACATGTGTAATGCGTAATCGAATTATGTTAAAATGAGCCTACAATTCCTCGTCGATGAAACATATCACTAAGTGATATTGATACCTTCTCTCGATTTAATTAAAAGTGCGATCCACTTGGCGCTAACAATGCTTTGAAGCTTTTGATTGACCAATCGAAAAAAAGAATTTTACTAATTGACCAATCAAAAAATGTTTCGAAGCATTTGTAGCGTCAAGTAGATCGCACCCTAAATGCCTATAAAAGATTGTTAAAAGGAGGATGATCTGGATGTATAAAGAGGAAAATTGTGAAATTGTCGATAGTCGGCGATGTGATTACCCAATTTTTCTTGCTGACCCAGAATGCGTTGAAAAGGCTGTATAGAACATATCGTCTTACACTCTTCGAATTTCGCGAGGAAGAAATGATTTTTTGTAGCCTTTCAAGTGCCTTACCAAATCAATCGAGGAACTGAAATATAGGAAATGCGAGAAATATCACATAATGGACGTACGTTTCGGATCCCGAAAGATGCAAAGATTGTCTCTTAAAGTAAAACAGAGAAAACTGGATTTAACCACCACGTTACTGTAATATTATATGTAATAATATACAGAATAACAAGAGAAATTCTACACACAGCATACATACACGCGCGCATTTACACTCAACAGATTTTCTTTCCATTGATGTAAATAAAGCTGCCATCGCAAATTACGGTTCGACAACAGAATCCCTTTCTCTTTTTTTATTACATGCACATCCCACAATATTTGCGCCATTTCCGTGGCGCGTCCTTAAAAAATTACAAAATCACCGACTTAAGTGTATAATGCGGAACATTAGGACATCGTCTATACGTACGTGTGGATAATCGAATCCCAAAAAAGATGTGGATTCTTTTTTTTTTCTCTTATCGATACGAGGTATGTACACACAGCGTTACAAATATTTTAACATGCCTTTTCATACCTTCTCATGCTTTCTCATTCCTTCTTCGATACTCGTGCAACTCATGTATTAAGACATTTGTGACGCTATATGTACTAAGTAATACAAAGTACATCTCAGATTTTTTTACGTCAGTCACGACGTTACATCACGTACGATTTTATATATTTTTAGATCACGTAGAAACGCTTTGTGTACGTACAAAAAGAGGAATGTAACAGCGAGTTTTTTTTTTAACACGTTGGCAATGAATTCGCGCGTAACAATGTGGTCTCTGCGGTTTCACAAAACAGGATAAGATTCTAGATAATTACTTTATCACTAGCGAATCAAGTTCAATATTATGCAACTTCTCGGATGCAAGGACGAATTATTGATCGCAATCATAATCGTTGTAATTTGCGTACATAGTGGCACATTTCAGCGGAAACATTTTAATGCATTTATCATTCTTGTTTCAAAGTACAGAAGTTACTGAAGTTATTATTTAAATGATATATATTCATGTATTGTATTTAATTAGGTTGATCAAGGAATTTTTTCGCCTTTTTTATTAACATATTGTGGACCGATGATATGCGAGTTATAATAGTCGGTAAAATATATAACATGTCAATGGGATATAACGATTTCGAACGACCCACGATTTATTAATGTAAGAGCGATTGAATTTTTTGATCAAACCAACACATGACTAGGCTCCGTTGATAACGTATTTTATCTATATAGTGATCTTATTTCATCTTTAAGAGAGTACAAATTTTGATACTAAAAAGGTACAACAACCGATAGCATCTCGAAATCTCTGGAACTCTATCGCCTAAATGCTAAACGGTAATGACTGCTATAGCTAATCTGGAAACAAAAACGTAATATTGGGTCCCAATCGGAGGACAGATATTCATTGAAATAAATAAGATTACCAGCTACATTACTAATCGCGATTGCATTGGAAATACTTGCGAAAGATGGATTTTTATTTCAACGTTATTTCTTATCGATCCTTGCAACTCGATGCTCGCATCTCGCAGTCCACCGAAAGAGCTTAAGTGCCTGACATTCACATTGTATGTGCGACTAATCGCGTTTTCATTTTACTATACAAATCCACGAGTTTACAGTTCATCGTGCTTGTCGACGGTCTCCGCTGCGTTAGGATTGCAAAGTGTCGGCGTGGAGAACTCCATGGCATACTCGCAGCGACTCGGCTCCGTTACAGACACGAGCTTATTTTCCGTTCCGCACGACAAAGTGACAATTGTGGAACGCGCCGGGCCGTTCCAACAGGTGAGACCTCGGTCGTACTTCATCTTAGTGTATTTGGCGCCGGTCGGTCCGACCCATTCGTTCCAGTGGCCAAGATTGACGCTACTACCACCGGATTTGGACCTCTGGGTTGCCATGGCGTACAAACACAGTTTGTAAATGTACTCCAAGTCCGCGTACTCAAAGCACTCGCCGTCAAGTGACGCAAACACTTCTTCAGGCCCGTAATCACGGCCTAGCTTCTCCTCCAACTGTCTAATCTCCGACTGCAATTCATTGATGGCCTTCTCTGCCTCTTGGAAACGTTCGCGAGCACTGGTAGCTTCATCGATAAGTGCCTGCGTCTCCTCGTCATACTGAATTTCTGGTTCTGGTGATTCCTTCTCGTGTTCCTCCTCAGGTGCCGCCTCTTCCTCTCCATCAGGAATCTCTCCCTCCTTCTCGTGATCCAAGTCGTCCGTAGGCTGATGCTCGTTTATCTCTCCTCTCTCCTTTGCCGCTTTGAATATACCTGCAATTACGTAACAAAATTGATAGTTTACAGATTGTAGAAAAAAAGATAGTGAGCTTAAATGTTATCTACCTTGTTCCAACATCAAGAAAGGCTTGATGTTTGCCCAAGCGTTATCCGTAAACTCTTGTAGAGTGACTTCCTTCTTATCACCAAGAAAATACAGCGCTTCTTCCTCTGACACGGCACCGTCCCTATTCTTATCAAATGTAGCTCTGGTTTGCAGTTCCACTAGCGTTACTGTACCACTGGAGTCTGAATCCAGTATTTTGAAATAATCTTCCACTTCAGAAACGCTCAAGTCCTCGTCTTCTTCTTCCTCCTCCCCAACAGCTTCTTCAGTTGCCGGTTGTTCTGTTTCAACGGGTTTGTACTTCTCAAGCGCTATGCTCTCCAGTTCCTCTGCTTGTTTCTTCAACAGCTCTTTTTCCTTCTTGATCAACTCCGCTTCCGTGTAATCCGTTCTCAGCTTGGCCAAACGTGACTGGTGCTCCGTTTTGATGGTCTTACCTCTAGCCACTAGCTCTACACGCAACTTGTTACCCTCTCGTGCTAATTGCTCCACTTTTTGTTGCACCAAACGGGCCTCCCGGCCCAACTCGTTGCAGTTGTTGGTGCACTCCACTCTGGATGCGTACTCATCACTTGTGTCGCAGCAGTCGCACACGCCGTCGTTCACCCACGATGACGGTATGTAGGCAGGCTTGTGACCGGCGTTGTCGCAGTAAAAGACACCGTTGGCGCACGCCGCTGTTCCAGGCTCATCACTGCCGTCTCCACAGTCGCAATAGTCATCATTCACCCGGGTGAACGATATCAGCCGACTGCCGTCCAGGCACTCGAAATCGCGGTCCGGCCGATACAACGAATTCTTCGCCACCGGTATACCGCGTATCTGCAACACTCCCGAGCCGGCTACGTGGCCCGGCGTGTACGTGGCCAGGAGCAGGCTCATCGATGCCGCGAGCGCCAGAAATCGCGACGCCCGATGACCATCCATTCTCTGGCTCACGAGTCGGAAGTCTTCGCAGATTCACGTCAATTCACCTGGACTCACCCTCGTTAGATTCACGGTTCACGGATGTTACAGGAGGAACCGTTCTTTTGAGGTTCGAGTACGAATGCGACACGACTGCCACTGATCACACGGCACACTCAGCAATCATGATGTAAAGCTGGAAACACAATAGGCACAGGCAATAGGCACAGGCAACAGGGAATAACGAGCCGTCCAATCAGAGCTCTGAGATATAATATCGAACTTATCCCCTGTCACGTCCGTAATAGCCTGTGTTACGTCTCGAGGGGGCACCGGCCGGCTTCCGGTATCGGCGCTACCCTGAGGCTATGGTGGGATGCTACTTCGCGTTTCGAGCGATAAAATTTCCGCGATGAGACTTGTCCAGCCCACCGATTGGCTACAGTCGGACGCTAGATATCGCGACTATGGTTGGTTCCGTTTCG